TTTTTTTAGACAGAATTTCGTTGTGAAGAAGCAACAAACCTGTCCCACTATCTCATTTACACCTAAACAGCAGCGTTGGGCTAATTGAATACCTGGCCACTCTTAATTATTTTCTCCCAGCTCGTTGATATTCACCAGGATTTGTAGATGTTGGCCCCATAAATATAACATTACTTTCCAGGTTTTTTTTCTTTTGGCACTGAATTCCCTTCTATTGGCATATTTATAGTCCCCTGTATAAATGAATAATTTTATTTATTACTTATTTATCTGAACTTTGCTGTGTCTGAGTTACTGTGCGAGTGGCAGGGGTGGAAGAGACTCCTTTTTTTTTCTTTTTTTCTGAGTTTCTTACCTACCTACCCAACCTTCCAGTTACTTTCACAGTGTAGGGACCCAAACCTTTGGATAAATAGATTATTTAGTATTAATATTTCTCCCCTATCACTGACAGAACAATAAGCAGCATGACTATTTAGTGCAGTAAAATCCAGCTGGTTTGATCACTGGTTATCCTGAGGGGGCAGGGAACTGAACCCCCCCAAAAAAAACCAACCTAAAAAAACTTAACAAACCTTCCAGGGCAAATTAAACTTTTCCAGGGCTAAATCTTGCACTGGGATGGACACCCTTGGAATAAACACTATTTACCTTCCCCTGCTCATAATATCTTGCATGTTTATAAATATATATATATATATAAATTTAGCGCTCTGTGGAATGTTCAGTTTAATCAGCTTTGGAAAAGATTTAATTAGTGAGTCCAGGCTGATTAATTGGTAGTGGGGCATCACCCTCTGATGAACGTGGGGTGGCTGCTTTGGTTTGGACAAGGTTTGGTTCACCCACGAAAAAACAAAAAAATATTTATATTTATATTCAAGAAATAATAAAAATAAAAATTTGGCTGTGCTTTTTTGGGCTGTTTTTGCTGAAGTTTCATTAAAAACTCCATTTTTCTGGATGACAGGTGATGACGTGCACGTTTTGGGGTCTTTCTGTTAATTTTAAATTTTACATGGTTTTTTTTTTTTTTTTACATGCTTCAGGATATAGAAGTAAAGGTGAGTAGCTGTGGAAGGGACAACTAAAAATCCTAAGTTTTAATTGTATTCCTTGGCTGTT